GGTTGTTCAATTCAAGGGGAGTAATTCATCAAGACTTTACCAAAAAGATGGACAAATCCTGTTTGCAAAGGTTGGGGGGCCAGTGAAATGATCACCTCTTGGATTCCGTTCTTCGCAGCGAGTCCGGCAGTTCTTCGCACTTGCATGACCACTGAACCCAAGAAAAAGGTCATTCATTCACCTCGTGAAGTACTGGAGTTGCATATCCCAGACACGACACATGGGACTGCCATAGGACTGCCGATCAATTGACCCCCCTGGCCGTTTCTCGGCAGTCCTATGGCAGTCCCAGACAGGTCGTGTCTGGGTATTACAATCTCTAGGGCTCCAGTCGTACCTCCTCAGAAGGTGTTTGGACCCTCCTGGCACCCACCCCAGTCCCACCTTCTCAGAAGGTGCGACTGGAGCCCTAGGGAATAAGAGGTACTTCTTTTCAGGACCCGGATCCCTGTGACGCTCGTTCGGTCCAGTCGCTGTGGCCGGGAGACGACCGGTGACCCAAAACGACCGGGAGACGGCCGTCTGTAAACGATCTCTGCCACAGAACCTCAAATCCGGACAACATCCGCTGGCGACCCCGGACCAAACAAAGCACACTGGCTCCTTCTGGTTCCAACATGGCTTGGTTTCCGACGAAGTTCCGCTCGGAGCGGAGGGACGTAGCGTTCACACGGATCTGGCGGGAATTCGTCGCCCAGACGCGTACTTGCCCGGTCAGTGGTAAATAGTCCTAGCTAACCTCTATAGATCTCTATAGTACTTACGAAGGTTACAACAAGGGTTACAAATTACAAAGGTTATAAGCTATAGGTTATCCAAATTATAACATAGGTTATAAGTCAAGTTTAGTCAATGACCGGGCAAGTATGGAATATATGCCGATCAATTGGGGGTGGTGCCAGGGGGGTCAATTGATCGGCAGTCCTGTGGCAGTCCCAGACAAGTCGCATTTGGGTGGGGATGGTCAGTGAGAAGGTCTTCCGAGATGGACATCCCGGGAACGCACACCCTTTTGGCACACATAACGTATGGACCATGCACACCCTTTCTTTCATTTTTTTTCGGAAGATGGTCGTCCGACATCGCCATTGGCACGTCAATCCATGTCAATAGCTGACTATCTTCAGAAGAGTCGACGTACGTGCGCATTCGTTTGACAAGTCTTGTTCAAAAGAGCGAGGCTGCAAGGCAAGCCCATCTTGCAAGGCATGACGCATCGCATGCATGCTGGTGTGATAGAATATACATCCAATGACCTATCCAATCCTGCGCGGAACCGCGCGGACTGCGACTTCGGGAGCTATTTTGGGCTGAGACCGACCAATTTCCCGGAACCTTCGGGCGGCCTCGGGTCGGTCGGTCAGTCCCCACAGGTCACCTGAGGATCGGAACATGTTGGGACCGGCCCTATAGGAGAAAGCGGGAGCTGGAAGTTGACAAGCCACTTCCACACGACATGAACCTGGTAAGAATCATCCCATTCACCGAAACGCGGGTCAGCCGAAGGTTCGAACTTTCGACGCTGTTTTTGGCTGGAAACCACTGCGGGAGGGAACTGTCAAGAGATTGTTTGTTTATCTTTTTTCAGGAATGATGGTTTTATATGGTTTATATCATATATACCATTGATATACCGATCTGCTTGTGCTTTTAATGCGGTTCATGAAAGGGACATGTTTGCCATCGATGAGGCGCTACTTCCTTTTGAGAAGGATGCGCTCTGCAAGCAGGTCTAGGTGGGACAGCTATATACAATGCTACAACTGTACCCATCCTACAAGCTACGAAACGGGTCGACTCCGGTTCTTTCAGATGGGCGAACCAATCTTAGGCCGCCATCGTTTTGTCGCTTTGGGCGAAGCCCAAACTTCTATCCATCAAGACACCCGAAAAAGATCCGCGTTTTGGGGAACATCGGCCCCCTTTTGTTCGCCCAAACTGGGATCCACTCTGAAGGGACCTCTAACATATGATATAGGACTTCACATCAGGTGCTCAGATGTTCAGAATTTTGCTTCCGAACTCCAGTCAAGCTGCAACAGATCAAGATGAAAACAAGCTGAGAAAGGAATCCAAGAGTTCCGTTTCCAAACGTGCAGTGCCCTCGGTATATGTCCTTCAAGTGCCTTTCAATTGGTTGCATGTATACAGGAAGTCATAGGTGCCCAGACACCCAGAAATATGTTTGATGCAGGTCCAAAACATCAACCATGTTCAGATGTGCCCTATGGATCCATGTCTTGTACGGACGCTTTTGGCGTACCTTGGCGGCGTGTATATACCGCGTACGTGCACGTCTCGTTCCGGAACGAGGATCAGGGAGCAACTAGGCCAGGCAGCTGAGTGCTACCATTCTTCCAGCTTCGTGTCCGCCACTCCACCCGAGGAATCGGAGGATCGAAAGACCAAACGTCATCACATCTCACCTATAGGGATCCAGTCGTAGCTCCTCAAAAGGTACGACTGGACCCTCCAAACCCACTCCAAACATCTTGTCAAGACTATTCAAGACTATACCCTGGAAGTCAAGTCAACCATTAATTTAAATGGTTGATCTGGTTTTGTAGTGTAAAACCCTTAGTAAAACAGCCGGTGGTTCAGATTTGCCGCTGCGGATTTGGAAGCCCAGAGAGGAAGAGATCCCTGGTCTGTCTTCGGAAAGGCTGCGTCCAGAAAAAGACCTGTGGTCTTTGTTCAAGCTCCGGGAAGCGATTCGAATGTGTGAATTCACGTGTATGAGACCAACAAAAACAAAAGCATCGTTTCGGACGCCTAAGCCCTAGGGATCCGTTTTCGTACCGAACCTCAGGTACGGTGATGTGTTCGACACTGTCATGAGTCATGTAGGTGACTGGATCCCTATAGGGAAAAATCGCGTCGTGGCTTTTTTTAGGTCCGGTCCGACCAGTGTCTGGCAAGGACGGACCCGTCGGATGGATCGAGGCCTGCAAGCAGGTAACCTCACCATGAGAAGAACGCCATGGGGTGTTTGGGATGTACCCCAAACGTCACGTCCAGTCGTTGTTGGATATCACATGTGATCTTTCTTTCTTTCTGCAGTGATTTGAAGAGACTGTTCTTTTTTTCACGAAATGCCCGGAACATGCGTAGATACAAAGAGGAAGGCAGTATATATAGATACAAAGAAAGCCATCCGGGGTCAATCCGGAAGTCATATAGGAGTCCGAGAGGGCCAAAAAGAGAACCCTGGGACGTACCAGGACGGGGGGCAAGAACGTGGCCTGGCGGAACGAAATTCTGCAGTTGTGGGGCGATGCATGGCAGCGATCCAGATCGAACACTGAATATATATATATATAGGCCGGTACATAGTCACATGGACTCCAGATATATGCAGGTAAATTTATAAGTGCACCATACCCAGACACGACCTGTCTGGGACTGCCAGGACGGACTGCCTTCAAAACGGCCGAGAAAGGGGTGGTGCCAGGCGGGTCCAACGTAGGCATGTATGGCAGTCCCAGACGGGTCGTGTTTGGGTTGTAGGCCCTTGGCATCCAACGCCAACGCTCCGCTGGCGCCGTAAAACCTGGACCAGCTGACCAACGAGATCAAGTGGAGATCAAGTCGATGGAGGTAACTCAAATGGCCGGATGGTGGTATATATGTCACTGACCTGGGTGAACTTCAGCGGCTTCAGTCTCACTCTGCGTTCAAAACCGAAGATCGTATACATCCATGACCGGACGGGTTGCGCTCCACTTGAAGGACGGGCTGCGCAACCCGTCCGAAGTAACACGCTTTGACCGGACGTGCGCCGAAAAGGTCTTTCTGTCGCCAGGAACGACAGGTCGAGTTTGGTCGGACGCTTAATGTAGACTCTTGAGGACCATAAACCCTCCCATTTAAATGGGAAAAACTCTTACCAGGACCCGCAGGAGTTGGGTAGTAGACATGGACACCCCGATACAAAAAACAGCTTGAAAGGGGGCTATTTACATAGACACCCCGAAAACTCGTTGGGGCGTATGGGGGGTTGATGGTCCTCTAAGAGTCTACCTTACTTCCCTTGGATGGAGGGTCCCCGTACTCCACCGGAGCGATGCTCCATGGCGCTGGGCATCTGCTGCCGGTACAGTGTCAGATGGCACTGGCGAGAGATGTCATTGGTTAACCACCAAGCTTGGCCGTATGTTGCCATCTGAAACCACGGGATCCTGCAGACTTGCACTCTGGACCTGACCTGATCCGGCACGGCTCGCCACTGTCCGTCATGACCTGTCCTCCACTGTAGCGACCTGTCGCGACGGCTGGACTACCCGGGACCTGCAGGCTGGCTGGACCCTCCAGTATTCTCCGGGATCGATCTCGACAGGGCACGTAGATAGGATGGTCCAGGTATATAGTGTAATTGTATACCAGGACCTTCCAAGAGGTGTCTATAGCCTCTTAGAGGTGTCTGAGGTGGCCAAAAACCACCGGACTTGGAAGGTCCTGGTAGTAATACTTTGTATTAATACGTTCTTGTGGTTCTTTTTCGAGAACTGCCATGATGTTACCGCAACCGCAAAAACACTGAAGCTTCCGCTGCGACGAAAAAGGTCGCTGGGCGCCGGTGCGCACCTCGCTGAGCTCGCTGACCACTGAGCTGTTCTTTTAATAATGTATCGCTAGGTCTCCTCTCCCATGTCCTCAGGTGTGGGGACTGACCCCCCCCCTAGCATCCCCCCCCCCCCCCCTGTCCGACCGAACCAAAACAGAGGCAGGCCGAGGCCCGGAGGTGCGCTCCGCCGAGCGAAGGGGCGTCTTACGATGTGACTCCACCAGCGACCGAAGTTGGTCCTCGTCATGTCCCAAGTCTCGCAATGACCAGAACTCTCGGAGTCTAAGTCGAAGTCTGGCAGCTTTTCGTTGCAGTCTACGCAATGCTTGTGTGTTCTTTTTTGCCGCTTCGCACCTGAAAACCCTCTAAAACCCCAAACAAGCCGAAGTCGACATGGCCTGTTCTCCCGTCGACCAATCCTTGGCTTCGCGTCCAGGGACGGATGAAGAGCGACGGGAAACGGGAGATGGTGGGCTGGGACGCCCAGTTCTTCGACCGGACTGGCGACCGGGCCGGACTCGGTCTGGCGTTTTGGCACCCGGGGATCCAGTCGTCCCACTGTGCCAAGATTGTGATTGCCACCATCCACTGGGCCACCTGGCTGGACTACCCTCCACTACTCTCCGGGATCTCCAGACAGGACACCCAGGCAGGATGGTCCAGGTATGGACCATTGTGGAAGACATTATCGTTTGCATTTTGTTTTTCAGGTTGGGATCACGCTGTATAGTTTTCATGGTTCTCCCCAAAGGGGGGGGTTGGCGATGGTTGGCCAAAGTCTTTGGGTTTGGAGGTTGGAGATACCTTGGGGCCCTGAGCAACTGCAATTCAGGCCTTGGGCCGCAGCGAACTTCACGGGCGAGTCGTCCGCTTTGGCGATGGGTCTATAGTAATGCCCTTAGCTACTAGCTTCTTAGCTACTACTTATGTCATGCCCTATTGTTACTAGTATCGATGCACTCAGAGTCATTCAATGCAAGGTGTCAAAACAGAGTCGAGTACTGTCACTCATTGCAGAGTCAAATCCACACCCTTTTGCCTTGAACCGAGTGGTCAGCCTTGCGGTCTCAGCTCCGTCCGAACGGTCGGTCGAGTGTCGACCGTCGAGGCGCTTCTCCTCTCGAACTCTGCGACTCCAACGAGCGTGACTCGGACTGGAGAAGCGTGCAGCGGGGATCGATCGATGGACTGATCTGGAGAGAGAACTGAAGTCGATCCGTTTTTTTCCTCGTCTTCCAAGGGCGGTTTGAAGATCTGGCGTACGTTTTTTGTGTTGTGTGTGTGTTTTTTAGTTATTTTTTGAGCAACCACTTCTATTTATTGTGTAGGCTTTACTTAAAGTAGTCTATGGCATGCTCGATTTGCTTGTCTATCATCAGTATTCGCTGGTGAACGAGATAGGGCCCCCACATAAACGAGATATCTTTGCTTGATGTCACTAAATTGGTCTGAACGAGATACTGTGACATGACCTCCTGATTAAGTAGTCTAAACGAGATAGGGCACCCACATAAGAGATAGTCCGTCGCCCGAACCGAACGAACACTTTGCTCAAAAGAATGATCACTCTACGGAGAACAGAACATCCCCGTGAAACACACCATGGGCCATGGGTGATAGGGTGATCTGTAGGGTAGGGGTGTCTATAAATAGCATATAAGGGGTGTCCCCCAAACCACCAGGCTTGGAAGGCCCTGGGATGTCCTGGGCGATCTGTAGGGTCATTGATCCTGTTTCCAAAGGCGGTCTCTGGTCCTGTCATTTTGGTCAACTGGCGGGTTGACAGAAACTTGTGAGTCCCCCCCCACCGGTAGAAGCCACAGCACTCGTGGAGCATCGAATGGTTCAAACAGCCGATGAATCGAAACCACTCCCGTCGACGCGACGCGTCCGACGCGCCGCGACCCGCGACGCGCCTGGGACTGGTGGACTGCCGATGAATTGACCCCAAATCAACCACCCCGGATGGATTCATATGCCAGTTCCAGACAGGTCGTGTTTGAGACTGAGTGTGAACATCTATATATATATATAGATCTTGAGATGATTTCTACCATTCTGAGACCTTGCCATCAGTGATGGTGAATCTGCGGAACACCGCAGCAGTTTGGAACGTGTTTCGAAGGACACAGATCAGACACCCAGCGTGGGGCGCGTGTTGCTGCGCGCGTGGCGCTCGCAGGGCAGCCGCACTAGAGGCGGAGGCAGAAAGGGATGGGCATGGAGGCACACAGACGACTCCCCAAACAGTTCCAAAGTACTGGAGCGATGACCAGGAGTGGTGGAGTAGTTCGTTTCCAGCCAGGGTGGAGCCGTGGAGCTCCGGAGTGGAATGGATGTTCTTCATCTTGGAGCAAGCATGTGAGGATGGCCATGTAATTCTATGTAATTATGAATTAAGTATGTCATGTGGATGGCTCTGTAGGTGTTCAAAAGGTGTGGATGGCTGTATGTTTTTTGTCAAACGATTGTCGAAGAAGGTCCCCAAATAGATAGCGGCACAATGCGGCACAGTTTCCAACAGAATATGAGTGGAGATCTACGAACGTTTATCTATTTGGGAGTCAGTATCTAATTATGGTGTCTTCACTGAAGGGCTATGAGCCACCAGAGTTCCACAAAAAGCACCAGTGAGCCCCATACAAATGAGACTTGCACATATCAGTTGGGGTGGTTTCAAAGGCGTCAATGAATTGATGCCAGCAGCCAAGTGGTCGTGTTTTCATAGGCCTGGGGAATACTTTTGTTCTTCAAACCTTGGAGGGCTGGTTAACCGGAGCATCCCGTTGACGTTCTCCACCTCCGTCCGGGCCTTCTTCGGTCGTCCTTTGGAACGCCGAACCAAGGGACCCATCGACGTTGAAGAGTGATTTTTGTTTGGTGATCTGTGGGTATACCACACTTCTGCATGAATTCAGCCACCCCCCAAACTGGAACCCCTTAAGTCAAAACGTGCTACCAAGAGAAAGATGGGGGGAGGATCGCTTCCATTCACAAAGGAAGACACTTTTTGGGACTCCACTGTGTCTCCCTCGTTCGCACGTCCGCAGGCGAGTCTCGCATCTCGCCGTTGCCGCCACGCGTCCGCAGGAGAGGATTGTGGAGAGCGAAGGCCTCGCATGGGAGCCAGGTGCGCCACGTGGTGCGCCATTCTCCCTAGCCTTCCAAGACCATTCAAAGAACGGTAGAGCGGGTGGTGTAGTGCAAAATCCTTACGTAAAACAATGGTTCTTTGGTAAAGACCATTAAAACAATGGTTGTTTGAATCCTATAGGGAACTGTGTTTGTTCCACTTTTGCCTCAACGTGGTCCTCCAAGTATTCTCACATGCGAGATTCATTTCTCTGGGACTTCTTTGCAGGTGCAGCGCCCACCGTGGACGCCGCGCCGGCGCCCGACGCACCGGCGGTGGTCGACGCGCCAGCAGACGCGGACGCCGCAGTTGCGGGGGCGCCGGCGGTCGACGCCGCGGTCGACGCCGCGGTCGACGCCGCGGTCGACACGCCAGTCGACACGCCAGTCGACACGGTGACGGCGGTCGACGCGGCGGTCGACACGCCGGTCGACACGCCGGTGGACGTGGCGGTCGACATGGAGGTGGCAGAGGAGATGGCGACGGCTGGGAAGCTGAGCCGGTGCGTGATGGAGCGGGACCAGAGCGTTGCAGACGAGCCTGAGAAGTGGATATATGATCAATCTGAGTTTTGTCAGAATCTGAGCTGCAAAGATCAGCAAGAGAACGGGTAGAGCTGTAGCACGGGGATGGGATGACTTGTGTTGTCGTGGTTCTTGTAATTTATTAGTTTTTGCAAATTAACCTGCTGTAAAGATCCGCAATTCTGAATGGTCACATGTTGTTTGAAGTTTTGTTTGATTTTAGTGTTGGTGCATCCTTTCATATCCTTTCTTTTCATTGTTTTTTGCTGGATTCCAACTAGCATTCATTCAATGTTGTACTAAAAGTTTAGACTCTAGACTACACAGGACCTTGTCAAGCTTTCTCTTACTGGTCTTGGAAGGCTACCGGCTACAGCCATATAGATCCCAGACACTCCATGTATGGTATATTTACCTACATTGGGGTGGTTTGAGGGGTCAATTGATCGGCATATATGGCAGTCCCATGGAGTGTTTGGGGATTAATTTAGGCTTGCAAGAGGTCTTTTGCATAGGTTTGCATAAGCTGGATATTCTAACACGGGGCGTTGCATATGCACGTCGACTTGTCTGAACTGCAAAGCCAAGTCCACCAGCATGTCATTTTTCTTTGACACCACCCACGTCTGAACCACCCAGAACCAGTTTTCGACAGAAACCAGTTCCTTTTCAAAGCCTGGTCTGAACCATGTTTCTGTAGATCACTCTTTTCACCACCCACGTCCGAGATCCACCGGTTAGTAAAAGCGATCCGTCCACAAACCGCCGCCTGAGGCCACGAACTCGGTGGCCTCGGCAGCCGATCTGCTCGGGATCCGATCGAAGAGGATGGGTGAGGATGGAGTGGATGTAGATCGACCGATGGATTTTGAGGTGGTTGGCTGCCAGACGGAATACCTCAAGGCACCATGATGGTGGATTGATGATGCTTAAGCTGGTGAGATGGTGTTTCTTGCGAACTTGAATGACCGTTTGTTTGGACCAACCACCCAGGTCAGATGGTCACATCGACTTCGGTCAATTCCCCCCAAACCCCCTTGACCGTGGTTCTTTTCTCCGGGGAATCGGACGCCACGCTTCGCTCTCCACAGCCGTTCGCTTCAGCAGCGGACTCGGACGCTGCGTTCGGAGGTGGAGAGGTACCTGACCCGAAGGAAGAGAGTCTCGAAACACGGTCATCCTCGCATATTTGTTGAGATCCAGCCCATCCTCGCATATTTGGAGGCTCTTTTCTTGAAACAAACCCAACTCGTGTTTTGATTGTTCTTTTTGATCGTTTTTGCGAACGGCCAAAAGAACAAAAGCAGAGCCGAGCCTTACCTACAGGTCCAGTCTGACCACTGAAAACACCATGGTGTTATGATATATAGTGCTTCTTCTATGCTCGACTCCTGTATTTCATGAGGTCCTTCACTGACCAAGAGGGGCTTGTTTTGTTTCTCTCTATCTCCCCAACAACCCGTGTATGGAATATTTAAGCTACATTGACCCTTCAACATCTTCAAAGCCATGCCCAACTGATCGGCAAAATCTGTTCCATGAATTACACATATTGCCAGGAGTCACAAAGGGCCAGGGGTGGTTTCTAGATCCGTAAGTGGATGATGGGACCCAGGCGTCCTCCAACACCCCCCTCCAAGTTCGGCACCCCCGTCTTGTGACGAAAGATAAAGAGCGGATTCTTTGGAACGATCAGTCGTCCATCTTTCTTCGGAACGGATGGTCTTCATCCACGATTCCGGGCAATCAGTCGTCCATCCTCCAAGTTCGGCACCTTCCTTTGGGCCACATGTCTTCCTCCAATCCGTGCTTTCCACCACCTTCACGCGTTTGGACCTCCGAACGAGACCAGAGTCGGTCGTCCACCCGTGCGAACACCGGTCGGTCTCCGCGGTCGTCCGCGGTCGTCCGCGAGGTCGGAGATCGAGGGCCTCGCCGAAGCGCGGCACTGGGACCACCAGGCCGAGAGTGGTCGAAGAGCTGCGAGGTTTGGGGTGAAGATCGGATAGTCCCAAGGGCCGGAAATAGGGGTCAGGGAGGGAGGGAGGTGAGGAGGAGGTGGGGGTTGGTTGGACATCGAATTTTGTTCGGCCATCATCCTTGCCGTGGATCATGGAACTGCAGAATCACTGCCGAGAAAGGAGGAGACAAAAGATCATTCAAGATCCCAGGAACAGCCATTCATGGCGGAGCCTTCCAATTATCGAGGGTCTTGTGATTTTAACAATCTGGAAGTAGCTTCTTACATGGTATCTGGGAAGTGTTTTGTTGGTTTGTATATGTGCTTCTTGGTCTAGCGCAAGTCCACCATGGCACTGGGTAAGGTTAAGGATATCCCCTAGCCTTCCAAGACCTTTAAAAAAACATGTTGTTGTAGTGGAAATTCCTTAGTAAAACACTGGTTGCTCGGAAAAGACCATTAAATCAATGGTTGTTGGATGCCTAGGGTATCCTCAAGTGTACACATACAAAAACATTGAAACAACCAAGACCAGGAACAAGTGATGTTGATCTGTGTCCGGAATGAGTGTCTTCTCCCTCTCCCAGTTTTGTTCCGGCAGGAACGCCTGCAAAAGCAGAAGCTGCAGCTGCACAAGGCACAGATCCTGCGCCCGGTTCTGCGTCGTCCTGTTTCGGTGGGGCAGGCAAGGTCGACTTCTCTTTTCCAACAAATAGCAAGAAAACAAGAAAACACTCTCAGAAGACCTCCGACCGGGCCACCCAACAGGATCCTCCTTGGTTGGGCCCTTTGACTCTCTTAGCACCACGATGTCTCTGCACCACCCACGCGCTCCAGCGACATCGCTCGCGACCACTCTGAGAGGTTCGCAACGCGTTCGCGCTCCGTTCGTCGGTTGCGGACGGGAGCCCCGGCCCTCGGTTCGCGTCCGAAGGCTCCGCTTCGAGTCGCGATGCCCGACATAGCTCCGTTCGTAGCTTCTGGCTTCTTGTTACTGTGAGGCTCAGGCTGTTTGGATGTAGTGATGGACTGAGGATCTGAAAATGGCCGGATCCGAGCCAGTGCTTTCTGGGAAGGACTTCTCATGAGATTCCCACCTCCAGACGTCTGCCAGTCAACGACTGTCAGACGTCCGATGCCAGACCACTGAGCTGATGGCACTCCAAGCGCCGAACCTGGTGCTGGTGGTGTGCGGCTTACCACTCCCTGAGGCGAACGGGCGAAGGACGGCGAAGTGTTCGTTTGATCGTCCGAATGACTGGATGGGTGCATGGGCTGCACGGGTGCAGCACACGGGGGGCGGAGGACTGGATGGTCTGGTGAAGAGGAGTGATTCTTTCAAGGATGAGGATCAAATTGAAGGGAAATGGGAGAAAAATGGATAAACAACTATGAATGGCATGCATATTTAACGGTATAAATACACGATCTAGAACCTGAGTCACCTCCATCATGGAGTTGCTTCGAGGAATATATAGTCTCAAAGTACTTCAGAAAATGGGCACGACGTCGTACCTGTCCCATTTTCTAAGGTACTTGAAGTCGGGTCCAGGTACCTCTTGAAAACATGTTAAAAACCTTCCCCAAAAATTCTACGAAGTCTTTGAGCCCAGCCCTCGCCATCGACCGGTCAACGCCGGTCTCTCGACCACACGAACGCCCGGGTCGGTGGCGAAGGTCTTGGCCCTTCGCGCGGTGAACAGCTCCGCGCTGCAGTGGGCGCAGGGTCTCAGCGACACCAACGGACCCGAGCGGACGCGACGATAGTGTCGGCGACGAAACGGTCAGACGAGTGGACGGATGAAGGTGCTTTTTGGGAGAACAAAGTATGGCGGAAAAACCGTGGTTTCTCTTTCATTGTAAGGAGAAGACGGAAGTCTTGTAAGTTCCTCGATCAGATGAGTTGGAAGTCTTTGGCATCCCTGAAGAAGGTTCCCAACAATTGAGCAGGTTTCATCATTATTCACTCAGTGTTCACCCCTTCACTTTAGAATTCACGGGGTTTTGCGTTCGCAAGAAGATCCGAAAATCACGCTCATCAACATGTTAAGACAACATATATCTTAGTCTTGTGCTATGTCAACAGCATGTGAAAAGCTTGAAACATCAACACCCTGGGTTTTTCTGGCAACACCTTGTCTTCTCACATGCGACCTACGTCCTACGTTTTGATAGGTGTTTGTATGTGTTTGTTTCTTCAGGTATGTCTATATAATCCAATTCTATACACGTGGTTTTGGCGTGCTTCTTGGGGGTTGCTTGGACTTCTTGTAGACACCCGCTACAAAGCCATGATGTCCTTTGGGCAAGCCATCACAACTGGATTTTGTATGGATTTCTTTGAGTTTTCTACGGGTTTTGAACAGATTGGGAAAAGTCGAAATGACCATGGAGAACCTTGGCTATGGGCAAACCACGGGTTCGCCATGGGCAAACCACGGGCTTTCTACGTGTTCGCTGTCCACAGCCTCAAAAATGCAGGTTTTTCCTCTTAAACGGTCTCTCAATATCATCATGGGCACCTAAAAGAAACAATTTTTTGGCATGACAAAGGACATCAAAGGACCATCTTGGTGGGACATAGAAATTTCAGGAACATTTCCTCACTAGACCCTTTTCTTGAAAAAACCTAAGCCGAGGCCAGCAACGCCGAGGTCCTTGTTCAGAAACTACATTTTTGTAGGTGTTTGATTCTCAAGGTATATGACACTTGTCCAACAAATACAGATAATGACACACTTTTTCAGGCAACCCCCAGCAATTGAAGATCTAGTATGTATCCAGACACTCCATGGGACTTGCATATTTATCTTTCCCATATCAATTGTAGGTACCCGTATATCTTCCAACATTTCCCAACCTTGGCTGGTATGAAATATATATTATTGCCCACATGCATCATCTATCTAAACAAATGAACCAAATGCAAAACACATCCACTCCACATCTGTTGGAAGATCGTCCACAGGCTCCCTTTCTCAGGCCATGGACGGCGCCATCGCCCACCTGGGCGAGGTTTGCCAGGCGAGGTCGGAGGATGACCGGAGGGTGGATGGTCAGCAGGAGGTCGGAGAAGTCAATGGAAAGACGGAGAAGGTTGGGGACCATTTGATGAAGAAGTCAATGGTTGGAGAAGTCAACAAAGTCAGTTTGGATTTTTTGCTGGGGACTTCCTTTTTCGCTGCAGGGAGTTTGATGAACTGAATTTGATTTGCCAAGCGCTGGGGGTGACTGGAGAAGGTTTGCTGCTGCAATGTGGGTGTGCGCTCTCGCTCTCGTTCTCTTTTTTGTTGTTCCCTTTGTTAAGAATCAACGTTATAGACATGTTGTTTTGTAGGGTGGTTTGGATGGTTTATGCTTTGTGTGGATGTCGGAACAGGATTGGAGCCTATAGCTTCTCAAGCCTGCTCCTTGCTGCAGCGAATGTGCCTCGCTCGCTCCCCGCGCGTTTAGATCTGTTGCTTTGGAGGGATGATAAGCGGCAAGGTCCCTGACCGGTCAGGGTTTCCGCCATGTCTGTGGCGCCATGCCGGTCAGGAAGTGTCAGAATCGCGCAAAACCCCTGGGAGTCCGAGAGCATGTTTAAAACGGTCTGACTTGGTGATCCGAAAAGGAACTTCCTTTACTGTGGTGCTTTCTTTATGTGGTGCCTAAAGTAGTCGAACTGGACTTCGGTTTCATCGGATCTTGGGTTGCGGAACACCTCCGAGATCGGACACCACACGTCCGGGGTGTCCACCACCGGACCTTGAGGGCTGCTGGATGGATATCTCCCCGGCTCATCGGATAGTATCACCGTCTTGTTTCTTCTTCTTGTAGACGATCCAGAAAATCGGTCCTTGAAAAACGATCATGTTTCTTCTTCTTCTTCTTCTTCTTCTTCTCTTCCAATAGAATGATCGTTTTCAACCACCGAAGCCTGACCCCCGACTCCTCTATGGGCACTGATAGTGGGCACTGATATACTATGGTACCATGGCCCCCCACAGGTGCTTTTCCAAGTTCGAACCGTTCACCACGTCCCGGACATCGGCAGAGGCACATCAGCGGATCCGCACGCGCTTGTGGATCCAACGGCTGGAGGACGTGATGACGGAAGTGGCGCGACCGACCTGGGCGACCGAGGTGGGCGACATGTTAATAGGACTGGCATTATTCTGAATCCATTACATTGTGGTTGAAGCCAGCCAGACCCCTTTTATTATTGTGGTTGAAGAAAAGGGGTCTGGCTGGATCGGCAGTCCTCTACCAGTCCCAGACGCGTCGCGTCGCTCGGGTCGCTGCGTCGGAACGCGGAAGCTTCGACGTTCCGGGCTATACCGGCTTTCAGATGATGCGTGAGGACAGAAGGGAGGTTCTTTGATCCGAGATGATCAAAGATTTCTGCAAAATGGGCTTTAGATCGGTCTGCCTCCCAATGGGTAAACTGGTCGATTTTCCTTCCAGGTCGTTGCCTGGGAGGTCTCCCTACCATTTGCTTGTATACGCCCAAATGGTGAAGGCGCATGGCCCTCATCGCATGATGTGAAAGAGCACCGGCCCACGAGATTGCCGCGGCGCCCAATCGTCGTTTTTTTGTTTGGCTCGGCACCCATCATCCATGGTTATCCTGTTACCAGGGTCATCCAGTCTGGGTGTCCAATAGACCTTACCCTTCGTTTGCACAGGTCTCCTACTCCAGGGCACCCGGACAGGAAGTGCTAGCTATGTGATGTTTTTACACTTGTGTCGCTGTTGTGTTGATGTTCCGCAATTCGTTCCTTTGTTATGTCCCACCTTTTCTCCCAACCGCCTCCGCCTCGCGAAATCGCGACATTTCGGCGTCGCGTCACGCCGCGGCCGGCGACTCGTCCTGCTCAAAGCCGGACTGTCCCACAAAGCCAACTGCATCCGGAAGCCGTTTGGGACCCAACGCTGATGGCAAAACACCTGGCCTTTCCGGTCGTCGAAAGGGTCGGACCGCCGTCGTCCCGGACCCAGCACCGTGAACGAGCGTGGACCGCCGCCGTCCCGCGTCACCGACCTTCTCTCATCTCAAGGAGATCAACCGCAACACGGCGGATGAGAGCACCTACGACTCGAAGGTGCGACGATTGGCCGATGCACCTCGGACCTTCTGGAGCCGACCGGGAGGACCAGGAGGATCGGTCGAAGATGAGTGGGAGTATGTGAGTGGGTCATGGGTCGGCGAGGTTTTCCGGGTGTTTGGGGGGTGCAAGTTGCAGCTAGTTCCATGTTTGGGGGCGCAGGCAAGACAAGCAAGCAAAGATGTGTAGGTTTAGCAAGTGATTTTGTTTGGGCGTATTGTATGTGTTTTATGATTTTGATGAATGGGTTGCAGTTGTTTCTTTCAAACATAAGATGCAGTCAGATTGTGTTTCCTATACTGATGTCGAGTTCCGTGACAAAAAACGTGACACTCCCTTCACACATGTGACACATAAAATCATGATGAAGGACACGTGAAGCAACCGCAGAAAGAGGTGAAGTTCGGATCTTCAAAGTGACCGAACGAAGAATGGGGTCGTACCGGGCTATACCGGTCCCAAGTGATGGTCCGAACTGCTGGGAAAGAAAAGACGGTCGGTCATGAACTGAAGAACCAGGAAGAAGCACCAGGATCTTCTCAACTTGACTCAAAGCCGACTTACAAATCAACATATATACACTATAGGAGTCACAAAGGAATGGTTTTGAGTCTCTAAGTGGGTGAATAGATGGTTTGTTTAATCAAATTATAGCTTCTTTCTACAAAAGTAATGGCCTGAGACCTCCGTGCGTAGCTTCATAGAAATAACGAAGTTTCAGCAGGACCGACTCACCCGGCCAAGGACGCGCTCCGTCGAAGGATGGAGGCACTCGGCGGTGTGTTGGATGCGTCGGTTGCTGGGTGGATTCCATGGACTTGAGTGAAATGAATACGACAACATGGCACAGCATGGCACAAGAGAAAAGGATTGAAGTAAGAATCGTTCTTTCAGCAGGTTTTGGACTTTACCACTTTAGCAGCGATTCAGCTGTGGTTCCCAAGAGCAACCAGGGTGGAACAGTAGTTTCCTGTATATAATTAGTGGCAACTGTGCTGCACAGAGGAACATCATGGCAGGCTTATCATAGGCGATGGCTACCCCCCAAACCCTTGCCCTTCTTCCAAAATAAACACCCGTATATATACCTGTAACCTGGATGACCTTCGTTTATAGAGGTCACTTCTGAAATTCGATCCTGAGACCAAAAGCGAGGATTTTCACTAAAGGGATGTATTTTGCAAAGGGGCGTGTTTTGCAATGCCCTTGTGTGCAACAAGTGCTTTCGATGCACTCTACCTTTGATTCTGTGATACTTTCCCAATGAAGATGGTGGAGCAACCCCATTGTTCAACTCCAAGTGGCCAAAGTGATTGGCCAATCACCACTTTTATGGATGAAGTTGGCATATGTTGGCCAATCACTCTGGTAAAGAGGTATCATTCCTATCCACCAGCCATCGCCCCGCAGCAGCATTTCATTTTGCTGCAAATCGGGTTGGCATCCAGATGGACGCGATCTGGAGCCCGAAGCCTCAGAAGCTGGTGCCAAGTGGCCAAGTGTACCAACAAGTGGGGGCATTGAACATGTTCCTTGAATCTTGTACTGTCTTTGAAAGGAACAACGAGGAGACCAGTAATTAAAGGTAAAGCCCAAAAAACGTGTCACATGTCCTGTGATCGATTGGGAGCCCATTTTGTTCAAAGCTCATCTGACCCTTTGGGCCCATGGCATCCCTAGATGGATTGGTGTGTGACTGGGATGCATGTGACGTGCTCCGTGAGCGGATGAGGGTCCACAAAACCCTCTTCTTGCCAGAGCCCCGGATGTCTGAGACTAGGGCGACGGTGAGCTGCGCTGATCGGAACGTGGAGGTGCTCAAGCCTTTGGTGCAACGGCTGACAGACCCTACTACAGGGCAAGTTGGTATGCTCACCGTCCCTGATCTTGAGAAACAGACCTTCAGCATCTATAGTTGCAAAGTTTTTTTTGGATGGCGTACCTTTGGGGACTGTGCTGCAGGTCAAAGAGTATCATACAAATCGGTCTACCCTTCATTGACAAGAGCTGGGACATGGTTTTGGGAGTTTAGGGACTGTTCTTCCATATCCGATGGCCAAACCAAGGATCAAAATCTTCTATGAGCGCTTCAACATAACAATCTCCAAACCCATTGTCAAACAGGATGCCAAATTGGCAAAATGTTTCCTTGTGCTGGTGAAGCGCAAGTTGCAGCGTGAGCAAGTGTGCCGCAGTGCTTCTTTCCGGACATTGCAGGCTTTGGTCTACAAGGACAGGTTTCTTGAGGCCAGGTGTTGATGGAAATTGTTGCTAGCGTGCCACCTTTTCAGATTGATATTCTACTTGTCACGTGTCCCAAATGCTAAATTACAAAGGGGGCTGAATTTCACATCATTTCATAATTTCATATCTATCCAGAACCCAGGATTTTGGGTATTGGCTAGGCAACAATTTAAGTATATTTTCCTAGAAACCCAAACCCAGAAGAGAAACACCAAGATTATTGGAATATATTGTAGTGCATTGTATTCTAAGATAGTGTCCGAAGCCTTCAAACACTGAGGACTCGCAGGCACAAAGTGATGAACAAGAAGGACACGATGGTGCCATCGAGGAGGTACGTATTGATGAACTTAGCTCTGATGAGGAAGAGAGGGGACAGAATGAACATATGGAAAGTGAGCTTCCGGCTGATGATTCCCAAATTCCCCATTCCGATGCTACCATTGCATATCAGGGTCGGCCTGGTGAGGCTCTGGTGCCAGTTGGTCCTGAGTTTGATCAGCCTCATGACGATGATGCTGGTAAGGCTCAGTGCTCTCCTCTTCTTATTGAAGATTCCCCCATGAAGCCGGAACAGGGCCAGCCAGTGGTTGATCCTATGTCTCGAGTGGCTGATATGGTGTCATGTCGGGAGGATATAGAGGAAAAGATCAGTGAGCTGACTGCCAAATTGAACGAGGCCAAAAAATGTCAAGCTTCCAGGATACTTTGCTTCAATTCCTAAATTTGTGTTCCATGTTTTGATCAGGCTTTTTCCATATCCTTTAATAACTGACAACTAATTTTTGCAACCCCACCCGGGAAGTATAGTTGTGGGAGCCAAGGAAAGCTGCAGCATCCTTGGAAGCAAAGGGCATAGTCAAAGCACCCACCCGTGCTACGTTGGTTTTGGACAGCCTGCCTTTTGGCGCTGACAATACTGAGACCCAAGTTCTGCACCACATGGAGGTTGACCACCTAGCCAAAGAGTTTGCTGAGATGGGTGATGTTCCAATTCCTGACGCTCCTACAGCAACTTGTTGTTTGTAACTTTAGCATGGAGTTGTGTGTGTTTCCCACATAGGCCACTGGATCAGGCAAGGGGAAAGAACAACTCAGCACCTTTTCTGGCGCTACCCTTCTGCTTGCAGGTATTGCGGCGGTCTCAACTTCAGCTTCGGTGTGATGATGATGATGAGACTGACCCTGCCCAAAAAGCGAAGGCTAAGGCTAAGGGGAGACCCAAGGGGAAGGCCAAATCAAAGGCCAAAGCAAAGGGGAAGACACAGGCAGCTTCATCGCGAAAAGGGATGGGCCTTACTAGAGAGACCGAACTTCCTGAGGGTGATATCCCAGGTCGTGAGGAGACTTTGGATGAACCAATTGAAGACTTCGAATGTGATGGTGAAGCCCCCCCAGAGCCTCCTGCAGACCCAACCACCAGTATGGTGAAGAAGGATGTGGAGAAGGATTTGGAGAAGGATGGGGAGAAGGATGGAAAGATTGAGGAGGGTGAGGCACCCAAAGGAAAACCAAGAAGGAAGGCTGCTGGAGCACCAAAAGTGAACCGTGAAGAGACTGGAGAGTCAGAAAAAGGGAAGGAGAGCAAAGGCAAAGGGGTGAAGAGAAAGGCAAATGCTACCGCGACCTCGAATACTTCCAAGGGCGAGGATGGAAAAAAGGGGCCTTCTACTTTCGCAAGGCGGGTTGAGCCCAATACCGAGTTGGGGAAGATGAAGTGGAACAATCTCAAGGAGGTGTTCAATGAGATCATCAAGCCTAAGCTGGTTACTTATTCTGTGCAGGAGGACTTGGGGTAGGGATGGTGGTTTGAGTAAACGTTCCCACAGCGCAGTGAGCTTTCAGCACACCATACCATAAGAGACCTCTTTCCCTTGGCTGTACCTGTGTGTGCAAGCAGTCAGTTCACATGTGGCGCAGATTTGGGCATTGCTTTAGTTCATACATAGCACCCTGAATCCCTGAACGCCCCAACCTAATACTCGCAAATACTTCAGGACTATCGCATTCTACCACCCATGCCATCCAAGACAAGTTGAGAGGACACAAAAGGGATCACACCAGCCTTTGGTGTGATCCCTTTTGTGTCCTCTCGGCCTGTGTTGGACGCTACACTTTTCACCAAGTCTGCTTCTCATAGTTTCGCATGCATGCATGAAACTTACATCCTCTCGGACCAGTTGGCTCCGCAGGACAAGTTTTGGAAGTTTGCCACTTCGCAATGGAAGGCGGTTGATGTCACCCAGGACTCCGTGAAGCAGCTGAGCCTGTCCGCTGCGACTGAGTTTCTGGCAGAGCTGGCCAAGAGCACGCCTGAGCTGCTGAAGGAAGACTAGTTTCCAACCGTGGGCCTGGAGTTGTTCCCAGTCCATGCTCCATCCTTTTGTGATGTTTGTGCACATGGGTCACAATTCCAACAATATGATTATCATTATGATCTACATTGTTTTTCTGAACTCGATGCCGAATGTATGGCCTCAAGCAATTTGATTGGAAATCATGAGGGGCAAGTGGGGCTACTCTATTCAACACTCCTGGGTTGGCAGGGGTTTTTGTGAAATTCACAGGCTGACAAAGAAAGCCTGCAAGCAACTGGGGTAGGGTAGGCAAGCAGCGCCGTCACAACGGTAGGGCATGTGCTGCCGTTTGGGGGTAAGGCCCCATGGCCAGGCAAACCCTTTCAAACAACATTCCAGATTTTGAGACAGATTCTATCCAGTTCTTGTCAAGCCATTACATCAAGATCAAGGCTGTTTGTTCAACATCTGAAAGATCAATGCTGAAAGCCTGACTTATGAGCGCAGCACTTTGGAAACCCATTTGCCACCGTTGTCGCTGCTACGACATCGAAAAGGATAGAGCTTCTTGTTTTACATTGGTTGCCCTATCCACGAAACTGGTGTATGGTTCCATCATGTTTCATCCACTGGCTTGCAAAAGCAATCTTGTGCAATTCCCTCCCAATTTGACCAACCCCTTGCACTGGTGAACCACGAGACCTTCCAAGCTTGACCCCGATGAACTGTAGCCCTTCCTGAGGCCATGGCCAATGACAATGGTGCTGACATTGGCATCAATGACCTTCGCAATACCGGCATGGTTTTGGAAGTTTGCGCCAACTGCTTCGGTTCCTGTGTGAGGGTGGCATGCATCTGAGGGTGGCACAAATGTGCTTGTATGTTTGGCATTGTGATATGCGTTCACTTCATGGGCCACCCATGAAAACCATGTTGATATTAATTGGCAACGCTGTCTCAACCGTGCCAAAGAGAGTCTTAAAACTGCAAATCACCAGGCCTGATGTCTCGCCTCATTGTCTTGACATGTTCCTCTAAACACGACCTGACCATGCCTGAAGGCATTTTGGTTCCAACAGGTGGTGAGTACAAACACCAACCTGTTCAATCTTTGAGGGTTGGGATGGAGTTGATGGATCCAGCCAAGAGGTGGAAACTGAATGTTGTGCTACAGCGTTTGTTTCTGCTTGGAGCACCAAAAGCAACTTGGCTGACCATGGGTGAGTG